CCCCTCCCCCACCCCTCGACCACCTGCCCCCCAATTCCCCTCAAGCCCTTTATTTACAGTCCAGGGAGGTCACCCTCAGAGTGGATCTATCTTCTCTAAAAATGGCCCCAAAAGGTCAGCAGAACCTATTGTAAGCTATAAAAATGAAATACTTTTAATTTATTTGTTGTTTGATACATAATACATAGATTCAATTCGGACCAAATTTTGGTCTCGTTCTGTAGTGTGTCTGAGAATGTCTTATTCATGCTTACAAATGACAGTTTCCAGAGATATTGTATCACATTTTTGGGCAAGCCAACGACCTCATGGTTGACAACCCAACACCCTACTGACTGTGCCAAAGGCTGTGCACCTGTTATCAGGGTCCTTGAGTGCTGAGTTAAGAAGCAACATTGGCCTGGCTGTGGCATAATCCCACTTCTGACACCAGTTGTAACAAATATAGGTAATAATTATAATAATAATAATTTTTTTATTTAGCAGACGCTCTTATCCAGAGCGACTTACAGGAGCAATTAGGGTTAAGTGCCTTGCTCAAGGGCACATCGACAGATTTTTCACCTAGTCGGCTCGGGGATTAGAACCAGCGACCTTTCGGTTACTGGCACAACGCTCTTACCCACTAAGCTACCTGCCGCCCAAGGTTACTGCTTGGAGTAGTGTTCAATCCACAGACTAGAGTTGAAAACAACATTGTATACATTATTGATCACTATAGGTCATGCTAATGCATCGGTAACTCCTTATTAGCTATTAGCTTGTGTGCTGCTGCTGACTGGACAGGGATGCTAGTAACTAAAAAGTGTCAGCGTTTCACCACTGACAAGCTATCATTCTGTCATCCAAATTCCTAGGTGTCACCCTCAACTTCCAAGTGCGTAATTCATGGGGGGGCTAATGTGTTCCTATCATCTCTTGAGGTGTAACAGGGCTACACGATACATCATAAATAAGCCCTTAACCCGTCCTGGTGTGATAGAGTTTCTCCCTGACCTTTGGAGGGAAAGTCACCCCTGCACTGTCCGCTCCTCCTTAGACATCCATGAATGGAGTCTACTCTGTTATGTTTTGAATTAAAGTTATGATAGTATATTATTTCTCTACACCACAACCGTTATGAAAATACAATCCAACAAAGCTTGACTGTAGTTTACATGGTTGAGGAAGAACAATTATGAAAAGCTGAAGACACTTCACACCTCTGTTATATCAGAGGACAGTAGAGCTCTCTGCCAGAGCATGTATGCATTTGCAGGGATTACAATAAGTGGGTCCTGTTATACTGGCTCTGTTGTGCCTTTGTGACATCAAAATGGGCTATTTTCCAGCCAAGGGCACAGGTAATGAGAGGAGCCACAACACATGACGTACTTTGTCACATTGTGAGAGTTTTGTGATTGAAAGGTCGGACTAAACGGGAAAACATCTCCACTATGTGGGTCTACTTTATCATGCTCTAGTGCCTTTTGGACTTTGAGAGGCCTCAAATTCCTTAGCCTACGTTTACTCTTTAGAATTCAATGCATGCCTGCACGTGCAAACACCCATTAGGCACATATCCTTATGAAACACCAGGGCCAGCTTTTTTTTCTCTTGTTATGTCAGTCATTGACAGTCACTCAATTAGCCATGTCAGCTAACATTTTTTAGGTTGGTAGTTAGTCTAGCCAGCTATCTAAACTTGTAGTAATCATGGCCAAATACTGACCGGGCACAGAGGGCCCTGACCTCCAGGTGGCCCCCATTGATTTTGTTAGTCATTCTCACTCTGATATCATATTAACATGGCATAAGTCATGGCAAAATGTGTAGAATTGCAGGAAATTAGCTTTAAAACTGGAAATATTTATCTCTGCCCCATGGCAGAATGAGTAGAATTTCATGAAATGTGTTATAAAATTGTTACATTTTCTCTACGTCCCATGGCAAAATGTGTACAATTGCAGGAAATTAACTTTAAAAATGTTTTGCCTCAAGGTGGGTAGGGGGGAGGGGCCAACCAAATCTTTCTTAGGGCCCCCAAAAGGCTAGAGCCGGCCATGTGAAACTCATTTCATAAACCTTATATTATTTGAAAATTCACACAGTAGCCTACACTTCATGTAATGCCTCGTTCAGTTGATGCAGAACAATCTGGTTATGAGAGTCCCTGGAGCTTGTGTGTGACCCAGCTTTCATAATAGTCTCCTTACAAAATGGCATTACAACACGACAGCAATCCTGTCTGATACCAATGACCTTTAATACTGTGAAAATGTATATGTGTGTTTGTGTGAGAGCGCGTGCGTGGTGGTGTTGGGGGTGTGGGAGGGAGAGGACGGTTATCAAAAAAAAAAGGTCATACATTTTTTGATTTTTAAATTAATGATATATACCCATTGATTCTTGAAGAATATGATTTACAGTATGAATGCCACATGAGCTTAGTTCAACTGTCGTGCACCATCAGAACCCCAAATATAACCTTGTCTTACTCCAATGTTTGTGAACAAAGCAATTGTAACAAACACTATACAGCCTCTTAACATGGTTAAAAATATAATTTCATGGATGGTCTGTGTTTTGTGATTGAAAGGTCGGACTAAACGGGAAAACATCTCCACTATGTGGGTCTACTTTATTATGCTCTAGTGCCTTTTGGACTTTGAGAGGACTCAAATTCCTTAGCCTACGTTTACTCTTTAGAATTCAATGCATGCCTGCACGTGCAAACACCCATTAGGCACAGATGCTTGTGAAATTCATTTCATAAACTTTATTCATTGAAAAATGCACACAACAGCCAACACTTCATGTAATGCCTCGTTCAGTTGATGCAGAACAATCTGGTTATGAGAGTCCCTGGAGCTTGTGTGTGACCCAGCTTTCATAATAGTCTCCTTACAAAATGGCATTACAACACGACAGCAATCCTGTCTGATACCAATTACCTTTAATACTGTGAAAATGTATGTGCGTGTGTGCGTGTGTGTGTGTGTGCGTGCGTAGTAGGGATGGTGTTGGGGGTGCGGGAGGGGGAGGACGGTTGTCAAAACAAAAACATTGAGGTCATGTGACTTCTGCCTCATTAGTCTGCTTCGCTATGACTCATCATCTTAACTGATTGGCTGACAGTGGTCAGCTGACTCTTCCTTACTACCACCCTCACCTAGTTGTTTGTGTTGAGGTCAAATAGGAGTGTTACAACATCTGTAGACTAGGAAGAGAAAGACATACAGCACTGTGAGAAGTATATGACTTAAATCACCTCTGATTGTGTCTCCCTATGTTGCTAGTTACATCTTGTCATAATAATGTTGATAGTACGAATGTTGTGGTACTTCATGATAGTTTCACAGGGTGATAATCATAGTCTCCTTCAAGATATTAATTGATGTTTCCTGAATACTGTATAGCTCTGTATATATGTGTAAATACTGTATAGATGTATATTTATGTATTTACATTAGCGCATGGTTTAATCACTACGAATGACTAAACTCAAACTTTCAACAGCACTTGCCAAATATGTCAGAAATGTGACATTCTTAATGTCGTCAACATGATAATCTTACATTATGATGACCATGTGAATGGATTTAAGCCTTGAGTGCATCCACGTGGCGGTGCGTTGCACAAGACTACAGGCACGAGAAGACTCTTGACTTAGATTAGATCATGTGACCTCCACAGGTCAGAGCTCAAAGTGCGACAATGGAGGAGACGTCTTGGAGGCCAGTTTCCATGGAAATGATGGCTGGCACCAGAAGGGCCATGCATTCTGGGTGAGTGAAGCTAATGAGTTTCAATAAGTGGGGCTGAGGGTTAACTTCACGAAGAGACTTTAATGCAGTTCAGGGCGACCTTTGACCTCACAATTACCCCATTAGCACGCTTCCGGGCTTTGTTAATTACCTTTGATTACGAATGTGAGTAGAACAGGCTCCTTCCTCATCTGAGAAGCTCAATTAAAGTGTTATTAGAGGTGTTTAATCTGAAAGGCTTGATGCCATTGTGATTGAAATTGAGCTAGAAATCATTACCATTTACTAAGGCAGGGCTTTATTCAATGGAGATGGAATATTTCTCTTTTATCAGCAAGACAATAGTCCCCTGTAGCTCAGTTGGTAGAGCATGGCGCTTGCAACGCCAGGGTTGTGGCTTCGTTTCCCACGGGGGGCCAGTATGAAAATGTATGCACTCACTAACTGTAAGTCGCTCTGGATAAGAGCGTCTGCTAAATGACTAAAATGTAAAATTTGGGTCATACTATTCCATGGTGTGGTTAACGTGATACCTCTTATTTCTTAGTCGCAAACATTTAATATTGTATTTGCTGCGTATAGTAACATCTCCAGTTAATTACATTATAATTAATTAAAGAGTTCTGTAGATAGCTGTAATGGCATTAAACTTAACCCTCAAGTGTAGATTACATTTATTTGACCTAAATTGACATTTCTTCGGCCTTTACCATTGGTAATGAATGACAGAGTTGTCAGCAAACACAATCTTCTTGATTTATTGCATTTGAAACAGATAGCCCTGACCTCCTTTTTGGTGGGACACTGTTTGCTTTTCTGACCTCAACATCCAACACCAACTATCGCTGGTCCTGCGCTATGTATAGCTAGTGCTATTTCCATAGCTGTGAAAAGAATGGAACCTCCCTTTGGAGTAGGCCAACTATATGCAGACCCACTTCTGTTTTGTTCCGTTCTAGAGAAAAGTCTTTGGGAAATGTTGCTATCTCTTGCTCGTTTAACTTAGTTTGTGATTGAAATATTATCAGAAATTATTTCATTGGAGGAATAACAACCGCAATGTCTAGCAATGAGGCTATGGAATGGAACAGCAGTGATAATGCAGGGCGCGAAAGGGATTTGCCTTATCGGGTCCCAGGACTTGATTCAGGGATAGCCAAGATAAAGTTAGTAGTGGAGGGTGCCGTTTTTAAAGAAGAGAGAGATTTTCTGGTCGAGAGCTGCGAGTATTTCCAAGCTCTCTACCGTTCGGGGATGAAAGAATGCCGGCAGGAGGAAATCCACTTGAAGGGTCTGTGTGCTCGAGGATTCTTGATAGCACTGGTGGTTTTACGAGGCGAGAGACCTATCCTGGATGCTGATGAAATCGTGGAGGCCATAGAATGCGCTGCCTTCCTGCAGGTGGAGTCTCTTGCCAAACATCTCATGGACCTCATCGACTCTGATAACTGTTTGCTAATGTATCACACCGCAGCAACCTTTGGCTTAATGGCCCTCTACCATGCTGCTGCACTGTTTATCCGGAACATGTACCACGACTTAGAGGTCGAAGTCAGGAAAAGCTTACCGACGGAGCTTGTTGCGTATATAGAGTCACTGGTTCCTAGCACGTTTGTAGCAGTTGGAGCCCACTCGACTTGTGGTGTGGATGAAACCATCCACGCTGGCAACAGGACTTTGTGCTACCTGGACGATGATGGGAAAACCTGGAAGGTCCTCACAGACCTACCCCCAGAGGCCAGTACCTCTATGGCCGGTGTGACCGTTCTGGACAACAAGCTGTATGTCGTGGGAGGGATACAGGTGCGGGGTGCCCGCAAGTACGCTGTGGACTCCTGCTTCTGCTACAGTGTGGAGGCTGACCAGTGGACCATGATAGCCAGTCCAAAACAGTTGCGGTACAACTTCTCTCTCGTGGGACTGGATGGATGTCTTTATGCTATTGGGGGTGAGTACGAGCGAACAATCATGTCATCAGTGGAAACTTACGAAGTTATGACCGGAAGGTGGTCATTTGTGGCACATTTGCCGCAACCAGTCGCCGGAGCAGCGTGTACAAAGGGCATGGGCCGGATATTTGTGTGCTTGTGGAAACCAATGGAGACCACTGAAATCTATGAATACCTGCCCAGGAAAGACCAGTGGTTGCTTGTCAGCACTCTGATAAGGCATCAGAGCTACGGCCACGCCATGGTGGCTCACCGGGATAACCTGTACGTCATGCGTAACGGGCCACAAGATGACTTCCTGAGATGCATGATGGACTGCTACAACCTCACCACAGGCCAGTGGACAGCCTTGCCAGGGCACTTTGCCAACAGCAAAGGCTCCCTGTTCACAGCCGTGGTGAGAGGCGACTCGGCTTTCACGCTGAACCGAACCATAACTTTGGAGTACGCTATCGAGGGGAAAACTTGGAAGCCCAGGAACCAGATGAAGGGTTTCCCAAGAAGTGGCTCCCTGTGGACATTTTTTCTTAGGCTGCCCAAGGGACGTAGAGGCTCCATATTGAATGGCATCCATGATGGATATGGACAATGTTGAGAGAAAAGAGAACCCTGATCAGGTCTGAGAAATTCCCTTGAGAAGATGAGGTAGATGGGATCTTAGAGGCGATAATTAACTGCCAGCTGAGCAAACCAGCGAAGGGATGAATATAGTCTCAAAGAGTATGACTTTGAAAAACCTAATTTAACATGGCCTCAATGAAAGGACCTACTACTGAGATAGATTCAGATATATTTGGCCTTTCATGTGGATTTGTGTGACAGTTCCTTGAAAGTGTGAATTACAATAATAATTTGGTGGCTGCTTATATTTGTCCTATTTCACACATGTACAAGTGTGTTTTATATGCATGTGTGAATTGGAAATGTGTTTTTTGCATATCCCAACTCCCCATGAGACACCCTCTGAGAGTGGGGTCACGGCCAGGGTCAGCCATTATCAACAGCGACCCTTGAGCAATTAGGGTTGTGCCTTGCTCAAGGGCACATCGACAGATTTTTCACCTAGTAGGCTTGGGGATTGAAACTAGCAACCTTTCGGTTACTGGCCCAACACTCTAACTGCTAGATACCTGCCGCCCTTGAGGCCCCGTGACTCTTTGCCTGGTCTAAAAGGTCAATACGTAAGAGTGTGTCAGATCTATGTGACAGGTACATTTTACTGGGCTTGTTCCTCAGTTTATGTGTGACATTTTTCATCACTGTGTGTTGAATATCCAGGAATGCGATATACATGTCTTTGAAATAAATAAAAAACAGAAAGAAGGTCATAGGTCTGCACTCTGGGTGTTTTTTTTTTTCAAATACTTTTTATTTCTAATATAAACAGTAAGACATAACAGTGGAAAATCCTGTTGTAACCTTGTTCAAAGGGATATTCGCTTTTTCAAGTGGAGGAGAGCCTTTCATGGGTCAAGTTAGGACACCAATGCATTCAAGACTCAATTTAGGGAAACATTGTAAAATATCTTGATTATTCTAAAACTCAGTGTAAAACCCATGTTTTCGGCAGCCATAATCAAAGAAAGAAAGACCTCTGTTGAATGAGGGCAGCCATGGGCAAGCTGTAATAGTACTTTGATTGGAAAACAGAATTAAACACACCAGGACATGTGGTTTTGTAGGACTTACTCAGGGGATTGCAAGTCACATGCGATCATTTAGAAATGATAAATTAAGTTATTTCCTATGTTGTGTTGTAAATATGAGTTTCCTTCACGTGACAATAACTCTATCATTAGCATTCATCTGGAGTCTAGATTCACAGACTAAGGAACCTTCAGCATAGAGCATAATTTTTTCAATTTGACTCAAGAAATATGTCTCAGTCAATACATCCATGTCAGTGATTAGACAACAATGCTCAACAATGTCTTTTTTATCAGTCATGTCCAAGCTCTTCCTTAGCTCCCATTCCTCTATGTTTGAGAGCTACAGTAGTATACCCGTAACACAAAGATTCTGTTTTTAGCGGGCTGCAGCCTTGGTTTCCTTTTGGCATTGACTGACTGAGAGTGTGTGGGAGTAAGGAGGATGAGCGCTGTATATACCAGGCAGAGATAGGCACAGTGGGCTGCTGGGTACACGCCACCGCAGCCAGCGATGCGAAATATGTCCATCCTGACTCAAAATAAAAAGCCCAGGGGTGAGGCGGGGACAGCGTCCTTGTGCAGCGTCCTCCATCACCCCTCCCATCTGCCTGCTAGACGCCAGCAGAGAGGGATGCAAGCTAACATCTCGACAGTCTAGAGCTGGAGCCAAACACATAAGTCATACTCAGACTACTGGAGTGTGGAACGGACAATTGCTCCTCATGACCTTCACATGAGCATCTGCTCTGTACATCACATTATTAGCGTGTTACTACATGATCTGTGTGATCTCCATATCACAGTGTTATACTACCCTTCACATTCTTCAAAAAAAAAATCACCTTTATTTTAGCAGGGAGTCCCATTGAGAATAAGGTCTCTTTTACAAGGGAGCCCTGCGTATACACAATTTAACAATACAACATAATACAAATATACAAGATTGCAAAACACACTCAAGAGAAATAATCACATACCTCAGCAAAGAGGGCCCCAATTAACATGTTGAACTGCCTGAGAGGCACCAGTACATCTAGTTGTAGGAACTCTGTAGATTGTTCCATACATGAGTTGCAAAGACTAAACGCAGATTTACCCTGAGGAGAAAAAAAGGGATCTCTAGAGTTAGCAATCCCTGAGACCGGGTAACTTGTACGTCTAAAGGTTATTAATGATGTTAGGTACGGCAGAAGTTTTTGTAAGAGAGCTTTATCAATAAAAAGAGAGCAATGAATCGGCCTACGTGACTTGAAAGAGGGCCAGCCTACTTTCTGGTAAAGAATGCAGTGACGTGTACTGAACCTATCACCCTTAATAAAGCGTGGTACGCTGTGATAAACTGCATCTAACAGCTTTAATGTAGTGGCAGCTGCATTCATATAGATTATGTTGTCATAGTCTAGAACCGGTAGGAACATCGACTGAATAATCTGCTTTCTACTATTTAGCGAGAGGCAGGACCTATTTCTATAGAAGAAGCCCCTTTTTATTCTTAACTTCTTAACTAACTCATCAATATGCTTTTAAAGAGATAGATGTTCATCTATCCAGATGCCTAGATATTTATAAGCGGGGACACGATCAATGTGGGCACCATCCATACAGTGCCTTCGGAAAGTAGTCAGACCCCTTGACTTTCTCTACATTTTGTTACGTTACAGCCTTATTCTAAAATTTACTAAATTGTTTTTTTCCCTCATCAATCTACACACAATACCCCATAATGACAAAGCGAAAACAGGTTTTTAGAAACGTTTGCAAATGTGTTAAAAAAACAAAACAGAAATGCCATCTTTACATAAGTATTCAGACCCTTTGCTATGAGACTCGATATTGAGCTTAGGTGGATCCTGTTTCCATTGATCATCCTTGAGATGTTTCTACAACTTGATTGGAGTCCACCTGTGGTAAATTCAACTGATTGGACATGATTTGGAAAGGCACACACCTGCCTATATAAGGTCCCACAGTTGACAGTGCATGTCAGAGCAAAAACCAAGCAATGAGGTCGAAGGAATTGTCTGTAGAGCTCCGAGACAGGATTGTGTCGAGGCACAGATCTGGGGAAAGGTACCAAAACATTTCTGCAGCACGGAAGGTCCCCAAGAACACAGTGGTCTCCATTATTCTTAAATGGAAGAAGTTTGGAACCACCAAGACTCTTCCTAGAGCTGTCTGCCCGGCCAAATAAGGTATTTCAGGCCAAACTGAGCAATTGGGGGAGAAAGGCCTTGGTCAGGGAGGTGACCAATAACTCCATGGTCACTTTGACAGAGCTCTAGAGTTCCTCTGTGGAGATGGGAGAAACTTCCAGAAGGACAACCATCTCTGCAGCACTCTACCAATCAGGCCTTTATGGTAGAGTGGCCAGACGGAAGCCACTCCTCAGTAAAAGGCACATGACATCCTGCTTGGAGTTTGCCAAAAGGCACCTAAAGGACTGTCAGACCATGAGAAACAATATTCTCTGGTCTGATGAAACCAAGATTGAACTCTTTGGCCTGAATGCCAAGCGTCAGGTCTGGAGGAAACTTGCCACCATCTCCACGGTGAAGCGTGGTGGTGGCAGCATCATGCTGTGGGGATGTCTTTCAGCGGCAGGGACTGAGAGTCTAGTCAGGATCGAGGAAAAGATTAATGGAGCAAAGTACAGAGAGATTCTTGATGAAAACCTGCTCCAGAGCGCTCAGGAACTCAGACTGAGGCAAAGGTTCACCTTCCAACAGGACAATGACCCTAAGCACACAGCAAAGACAACGCACGAGTGGCTTCGGGACAAGTCTCTGAATGTCCTTGAGTGGCCCAGCCAGAGCCCAGACTTGAACTCGATCGAACATCTTTGAAGAGACCTGAAAATAGCTGTGCAGCAACATTCCCCATCCAACCTGACAGAGCTTGAGAGGATCTGTAGAGAAGAATGGGAGGAACTCCCCAAATACAGGTGTGCCAAGCTTGTAGCGTCATACCCAAGAAGACTCAAGGCTGTAATCGCTGCCAAAGGTGCTTCAATAAAGTACTGAGTAAAGGGTCTGAATACTTATGTAAATGTGATATTTCAGTTGTTTATTTGTTATACATTTGCAAACATTTCTAAAAACCTGGTTTTGCTTTGTCATTATGGGGTATTGTGTGTATATTGATTAGGGATTTTTATTTTTATTTTTTTACATCCATTTCAGAATAAGGCTGTAACGTAACAAAATGTGGAAAAAGTCAAGGGGTCTGAATACTTTCTGAATACACTGTATGCCTAAATCATCAGATACATGTTTAAGTGTTCTGGAGAACAACATACACTTGGGTTTATCTGCATTCAGCACCGATTTCAGTTCAACAAAGATTTTTTTTAAAGCAATGAATGCAGACTTTAGCTCAGAAAGAACCTGATCAACAGCATACACAACAGTGTCATCAGCATACAAGTGCAGGTTGCCTTTTTATTTTGTTCATAAATCAAAATCAGCAATCAATCAATCATATTATATAGGCAAAGACCTTTTTACGATAATGTACAATGTAATTTACAGTAACCTTACCCAGCCTAGACCCCCAAAGAGGAAGAACTCCAAGGAAAGACTCACTAGAAGGAAAAAAATACTTGTTTTATTTTAGGCCAGTCACCTGTAACCATGACTAAACTCTTACTAATGTTGATGATGATGTTTCTAATTGTATTTTTGTTACTAAATGCAGAATATCATACCAAGAGCCATCCAAGGAGTTATCACGTCTATGATAACTCTCCATGCCCCATTGGCCGATGGACATGATCAGAATGGTGGCATCAGTCGTACATTCAGTAATCATGCCTATAGTCTATGCAAACGCGATGGGCTTTTCTCATTTGGGAAAAGTTGCCCTCCATCCTCTCTCCTCAATGACCCGGAAACCGATAACTGGTCGAGTGGTCGAGGAGAGTGTCAAATTGTTGGTAGGCGAACGGAAG